TTCTAACATAAAGGTTGAACTTTCAGAGGCTAAGTTGCGAATTTGGCCAAGGAAATATCTCTCTGCTAAAATAGATGTGGCTTCTGTACATGAATTGAGACAGGTTGAGCTTACCTTTACTAAGTCAGCGGCAATAGAAGCGACTGAATCAACTTTATGAAGCTGGTACTACTATTCTGTTGTATGTGCTAAATTGAAATTATTGGCAACTATTTCTTGAAATGCAAGCATCCCAAGAACCTCAAACATCATCCACTGTCCACAGTTTGTACCATCAATCTATGCCGCAGATTGAGCCTTATTGCTTTTCTCCTTTGCAAGTTCTGAACAGCAATTCAAGTGGTAATAGAAGTCAAGGGGCTGAAGTTTCTTTTCAAACTTGCAATGAACAAATCTTCACCTTGGAATCAACACCAGCACCTGATGACGTTGTCTATAATTCACCTTCTGCAGTAAGTGTCTCTTCTAACAGGAGCCCATTTTCTCCTCAATGTTCTCTATCGTATGTGTCTGATGTCCATCATTCATCTGATAATACTTATGGTTCACCATTAAGTGGGTATTCTGGGGTTGATGATGACAACAAATTGATGCACGCATTCATGGAACTGAGGAATGAATTGTTGGGGCCTGAATCTGATATTGATGACAGTTGCTCCTTTTACGGTGTAGCCCCACAAACTTCTTCCTTGAGTAGGTTCAAACGAATCTTGGAAATGGCCCCCAACATGGACCTGACGCAGGTGCTCATTGCATGCGGTGAAGCTGTATCAGAAGGCGACGTGTCAACTGCAGAAGCTCTGATCGACATATTAGAAAGAAGGGTGTCAGTATCTGGTGAGCCTATAGAAAGGCTGAGTGCATATATGTTGGAAGGGCTCAGGGCAAGATTGTTGTCCTCAGGAAGTATAATCTACAAAAAGTTGAAGTGCAGAGAGATAACAAGTTCAGAATTGATATCTTACATGCAGGTGCTTTATCACGTCTGCCCATATTACAAGTTTGCTTATATGTCTGCCAACGTCATAATTGGGGAAGCCATGGAAAATGAGAATCGAATCCACATCATAGATTTCCAGATTGCACAGGGCAGTCAGTGGGTATTCCTTATTCAGGCTCTTGCACGCCGGCCTAGTGGACCTCCATATATCCACATTACTGGTGTTGATGATTCCCAATCTGCTCATGCGCGAGGTGGAGGACTTGAGCTAGTGGGTCAGACTTTAGCAAAAGTGGCCAAGTCATGCGGAGTGCCATTTGAATTCCATGCCGCTGGAATGTCAGGATGTGAAGTCCAACTACAGAATCTTCAGATACGACATGGAGAAGCCTTGGCTGTAAATTTTCCTTACGTGCTGCACCACATGCCAGATGAGAGCGTGAGCACTATGAATCATCGAGACCGCCTACTAAGACTAGTTAAGAGCTTGTCACCCAAGATTGTAACCCTTGTTGAACAAGAATCGAACACTAATACTGCCCCGTTCTTTCAGCGGTTTTGTGAAACTTTAGACTATTATGCAGCAATGTTCGAGTCAATTGATGCAGCTCGACCAAGGGAGGACAAGCAGAGGATTAATGCTGAAGAAAATTGTGTCGCAAGGGATGTTGTGAACATAATAGCATGTGAGGATACTGACAGGGTGGAAAGGCACGAGCTTTTTGGAAAATGGAGGTTGAGATTCATGATGGCCGGATTTTCTCCAATCCCATTGAGTCGATCGGTAAGCACTGCCATTATGGACATGTTGAATGAGTATAGCCCCAATTACAGACTTGCGGAGAGCAATGACGCTCTATATCTTGGATGGAAGAACAGAGCTATGGCTACATCTTCTGCTTGGAGATAAAAACTTGATAGGGATTTGCTTCACTAAATCTATAGGTTTTTTTTTACAGTGTTTAATTATCTTGTAAAGTAACTGTTATTTATCGTGCTTTTTCTTGTCGATCGAGCGCCTCTAGTAAGGCTTGACTCCGGCATTTAGATGATAGAAGCAGCATCGGGATTTGGATGGATAGTTTGTTTGTTTTTTCAAGATATAATTGGATGCATTTGTAGCTCTGTATTGGCACATTTCAAGAACCAAAGGTGGCGTTAATGATTTGAAGGTTATAGTCTGAAATTTGCAACATAATTTAAGGATTCCCAGTTGGGTTAAATTTCAACTTATAACGTGATGAAATTATTTCGATAATTTACTTATTAGGTAATTTCATGTGTCCGACCCAATTAGATAAATTAGAGATCCAGAATGTTCCAACGATAATTGTGGCAGCCTGTTATCTGTTGAAATCTTCAGTTAAGTGCTTCTAAGGTGGGAAGGGAAGTTTTGCCGTTGTCTGGGATAAGGTTATGCCCCCCACCCTGAAATCTTGGGCGCCTGTCGGACAATATTCGTCGTATTTTGATAGATATCCTCGCTCGGTTGCAGTGCGGGTGTTGGAAGGGTGCATTGGTGTGGTGCTGTGGAATCTCCTACCAAATTCGAGAAAGCACCAAGTGATGGATTCCTGGTAGAGACGAATTTTTTTTCATGAATTCAAGATAGTGAAAATCGTGCGACAAGATGAACTAAGACGACTGTGTTTGCAAGTGATGGTCTTGGAACAATTGATAGGGATGGAACGGTTGCGCTAACAAATGGAGGTGTTAAAGTAACACGTGAATGATTTTCTCTCTCGATATTTGACAGTCACATAGAAGCAAAAGTTCGCAAGTCGATGGAGGAGGGCACCAACAATCTACTTTTATATATGTTTAAATAATACTCTGCTTTGTCGGATTAGAAGAGAATTTAGAGAAATCTAGTTTAAAGATAAGAGAAGTAGAAATAAAAGTAGAAGTCATGTCAAATGAGTCACAATTTACCGCTTTTTTAATTTTGTCGATTGTATTCCCTTTGTCATCTCATAATTTGTTCTCAACAATTAGGTTAAATGAAAGTTGCAATTTTCCCTAAAAAAAAAAAAAAAAAATACTGCATAATACATATTTTTCAGGCGCATAAATGCTAATGAATTAATGGTTAGGGAAAATGATTTTGACACTAGCTAATTTTATGCCGTTTAATCTTTGAGAGTTCTAGTGCGTCATAATGACTTTTGGGTTTTGTTTCGAACAAAAATTCCATCCTCATTTAGTCACCTGAGGGAGCATAGGTGATGCTGTACTCCAAGTGAAAGACTAGAAATTAGAGTTTGAGTTAATTTAGATATCAATAGTTTTATCTATTAGGAGTTTGTTATTATTTAAATACTAGTGTGGATCGTGCGTTGCTTGTTGAAATCTTCAGTTAAGTGCTTGTAAGGTGGGAAGGGAAGTTTTGCCGTTGTCTGGGATAAGGTTATGGCCACCACCCTGAAATCTTGGGCGCCTGTCGGACAATATTCGTCGTATTTTGATAGATATCCTCGCTCGGTTGCAGTGCGGGTGTTGGAAGGGTGCATTGGTGTGGTGCTGTGGAATCTCCTATCAAATTCGAAAAAGCACCAAGTGATGGATTCCTGGTAGAGACGAATTTTTTTTTCATGAATTCAAGATAGTGAAAATCGTGCGACAAGATGAATTAAGACGACTGTGTTTGCAAGTGATGGTCTTGAAACAATTGATAGGGATGGAACGGTTGCGCTAACAAATGGAGGTGTTAAAGTAGCACGTGAATGATTTTCTCTCTCGATATTTGACAGTCACATAGAAGCAAAAGTTCGCAAGTCGATGGAGGAGGGCACCAACAATCTACTTTTATATATGTTTCAATAATACTCTGCTTTGTCGGATTAGAAGAGAATTTAGAGAAATCTAGTTTAAAGATACGAGAAGTAGAAATAAAAGTAGAAGTCCTGTCAAATGAGTCACAATTTACCGCTTTTTTAATTTTGTCGATTGTATTCCCTTTGTCATCTCATAATTTGTTCTCAACAATTAGGTTAAATGAAAGTTGCAATTTTCCCTTACAAAAAAAAAAAGAAAAAGAAAATCTCAACGGAAAACCTACGTGTAATATCTAACATGGTGATTAATCTTCGCGAGCGCAGCCCTATACACCAATGTGTGTTTGATGGATGTTATTGAGAAAATAATGTATTTTAAATAATGATATGATGAGAAATATGCGGTTAAAAAGTAAGGAAAAATTATTGATGTGATGGAAAATATTATTTTATTGAAGAATGTGTGGTTGAAAATAAGTTTTGAAATAATATATTTTGAAAGAATGTATACCAAACATTGACTTATTTATTTTAGGCCCTGTTTGGGAGGGATTAGATTTTTCTACAGTAAATCAATTCTCATTTTCAACCGTATATTCTTCAATAAAATAATATTTTCCATCACATCAATAATTTTTTCTTCTTTTTCAATCACAAATTTCCCATCATATCACTATTCAAAATTAATTCTTTCCCCAAAAATCTCTCCCAAACAAGCTCTTATTAATTATACAAAAACACGACGACTTGTTTAGTGGAAGTTGTAACTGAAAGGGTTCAGCAACGTGGCCTAAAGAATGACGTGACCACCGCCGTGCCGGCACCCCTAATAGCTTCCCGACCGCCATTATTGTATTCGGTACCCATACATCAAACTTCATTTCTTCTTGAAAAATAAATCATTGAAATGTGATTGTATGAATTTCATGTGTTGCTATTTAAATTATTTCAGTGATTAGAATTAAGGAGCTCACACATCACAAGCCTTGAGGCGTGTGCCTCCTCAAGTGATGCTCAAGCCTCCAAATACTGCTGCCTTTTTCGTTCGCCTCGCTCGGAGTTTGGCCTCAAATCAGTTTTTTTTTTAATTAACAATGCCAATTATGGTTAATTGTTGCGTAATTATCCATCAACACTGCTATTAAACTATTTAAATTGTTTTTGATTCCTCTGTTGGGTTGTTGAGGGCTTAATTTCACATCATCTGAGTGATCACTAACATCTGCAAAATTGCTGGTGATTGAGCTAGAAGTAGCATTGTCACCAGATATTAAGAATCTGCCCAAATGGCAACGAGTTATTTGCCAGGTTTAGGGTTGCGTGAGAAACAGAAAGAGCAAGATAGGGAGCGTCGCAGAAGACGCGATAGAGAAAGAAGGCTATCTATGAGCCTTGAAGAGAGAGAGAGACATCTAGCTAGACGTCGTAGAAATTATCAACTGCGAAGACGGAAAGAAGAGCATGCTAAATTTTCTCAACATGGAAAAGCTAGCACTACTACTAAATATGAAGATAGCGCAGTGAATGACAGTCTAGCACCGGTTCATGTTTCAGGATCTAGTGTTCCATCTGATGCTGCAAGGCATGTTGGATATATTGGCCAGTTGGAAAATCAAATTGTACCTAAGTCTGAGGGTGAGTTTTATGTAGTCCTGTATAAAATGTGAAACGAAGAGATTATATTGTTGGCTTCAAAGTGTATCTGTTTGCTTAAAGATTTTACTTCTCCTCTGTGATTATTTGATAGGTGCAGAACCAAAATCCCATGAAATACCCAAACATTCTGGAAGATTACGTCTGAATCAAATCAGACATCTTGCACGAATGATGAATTCTTCGGAGTCCAAGCCTTGTGGCGACTGTCAACAAACCACAGTCAATGCCACTATAAAGGAAAATGCAACTACAAACTGTAAGTCCTAGAACATGCAGCGCGGTCATGATTGTTAGGAGAAGTGAATTTTAAAATTGTGTACATTAAGACTTACACTTCTCTCACATGGAGTGTGGGGTCCACGATTTTTTAAATTGCAGGCCCCCCACCATTGTGAGAGGAGTGTAATGCATGGTGTACACCCAAATGTGTACTTCAAGCATCTCTCTTTTAAAAAATATTCTGAACCTGAAGTTAAGAGAGAAGTACATATAGATTTGTGTGTTTACTACTAGTATTTGACGCTTTATTATAGGCTTTGTTTTAGGTTTGACAAGAAAAACTATGCGACTAGTTCATGTGAAACGTCTTGCACGAGGACTAAACTCCCCCAATGGAAAGGCAACTGACCAAGACAATTTGAGTACAATACAAGGTATGATCCATCCCCCTTCAGAAACAGTGTTCTCTGAAATGTTTCCAATCTATCCTTCAGCTGAGTGTTTGAGGAAATGGCAACCATTAATTTTCGATGTTTTCCATTTTATATACCAGGACTATGGGTATAAATTTGCAGGAAATTCACAAACAATGGTGCTTTTAGTCAAGAAGGATGTGGATATGAACATGGTTCATTAGTTCTCAGCAAAGCCACAAGAAATTTCTATTCTTTTTCTTCTTTTTTTTCTCATTTCTGAGTCTCTGACCCAATGATCCCTTGAATTTTGTGTTATTTTCTATTGGAGCAGTTCTAGGAGTTCATTCTGCACAACACATTTGCCACAATATTGCTGGTACAAGAAAAAGGGAAAAATGTTTTCCTAACAGTATTTGTTAACCAATATACAATTGAACATCAAAATACATAAATTTTAAAACGTAAAGTGCACACACAATACATATAAATGTACATACCCATTAGGCTATGGCAATCCGCAAAAGTTGCATGCCACTCTCTACGAGGTCTCGCTACATCATCAACAACTATAGACGGTACAAGTCACCTTAATGTCATTGACGTTGTATCACAGCCGACCATTGAAGTGACACCACAAACTAAAAATCCTTGCTTCACCCTTGTTTGCCATGGTTCTTAACTAGCCTCAAATTTAAGTTAAAAAACTTTGGACAACCAATTTCAGTCTCCTTTTAATTAAAAAGAAATTGAATTCCTCTAACTTGTCACACACACACACACACTTGACAATCAATTTCAGTTTCCAACCAAACAGGGCTTAATTGTACGGGTCCTTGAATGGGCCGCTGAATCATATTGGGCTTGTTAATAATATCATATGAATGGCCCAAACAGAAGATGTTCATACTCGTAATGCCAAAAACGCCAGCGTTTTACTCTGTTTGACAAATACTGAAATTCTAGTCAACATAAAAATCTAGTTTAAGGAAACATAACAGCTAGAAATCTGTTCTTCCAAGGAAACTCTTTCCTTTTGAAACGATGATTCCATGTTAATTCCTAATTTATCAAGGATTTCCTATTGCAGTTTTACCCAACTTCGTACTTTAATTATAATGTCCTTTTGTCTTATACAGGAATCACACTATATATAATGGACAGTAGAGTAGACTCGAGTACTATCACTGCAAGAATACTTTATCTTTGTTCTTGATTTCGCTCTTCTTCTTGCTCTACTTTTTTGTTGTTGCTTCCACATGGCGGGTTCAACTTCTGAAAATTTCAAGAATGAATTTGAAGCTTTTGTTGCACATTTTGGAAGTTTGATGATGGGCGAAGATGGGGTTTTGAAGTCTCAATCCGGAACTAATGACCACTCTGGTTCTTTTTCTTACTGCGCCCCTGCAACTCAAAACCCAGAAAGAGATGCTATTGATAATGAACAAAACGATAAACGCCGTGATCAATTGCTTGCGCCTCAAGAAACCCACGAAACAACACAAGGGTTCTCAAGAAACTCGGTTTCTAATCAAGGCGACGTCTGGGTTTATCACAATTCCGACAATCTAAGTAAGTAATTTAATATTTTATTTAACCTATTACTTGGAGGACGTTTTTGGTTTTTTACTTGTGAATTCATTAAAGAAAAGAAAGAGGAAAAATTAGATAGAGATAGGTGCGTATGTATCTTTGTGGGAATGTATGATTCGAGGAATTGAATTTTCTTCATTGCGTTTCTGCAGGGAAGAATTCTGTTTATGGATTATTTTCACCCAATGAAAACTTTTGCTCGAACAATCATATTCAGACAAGTTCTAGTGGTTTGTGGAATCAGAATGGACAATGTAGTGGCACTAATTTTGAGTGCGTTTATCCACGAAGCAACTTCAACTCCAATGCTGGCATTCGAATTGGCTTGCAAGGGGAAAATATTGAAGGGATTCCGTTCGCAGATCTTCTAGACTCGATTTTTCTTCTGATGAAGCATGAAACTGGACATGTTCTCTTTGATGAGCTAATCGATTCATGTATCGGCGATGAGTTGCATTTGGTTGTTTTAAAGTTGTGGTCGAATATCGATTTGTTTATAGAAGCAGCCTTCTGTAGAATTGGGTAAGAAAAGAACACTTTAATATTTCATCTATTTGTCTCCTTTTCCTTTAATTCTTCTGGACTTATTGCATAACCTGTTTTGACAGATCAAATTCAATCCAGAAACTCATCAAAAAGCTTAAGAGGACACCCTATACCTATACGATGACAAGAATTCTATCGTCTAGGTTTTATCAAATAATGACTCACGACTTTGCGAGGCATGTCATCCTACAATGCCTCAATCTTTTGGATAGAAAGTCAAATGAGGTAATTATCTTTCTACATATTCTTGATTGCACAGATACTTGTGTTGTTAATGCTGTCTAAAGAGCAAAGATTTAATACTACTAGACAGTATTTAATACAATGTTCCATGAATCTGTCACGTTATTAGCAATTATTATGTATATTTATACACTACATAACAGTCCTCTCTTATCATGACATGCTTCATCTCAGATATTCTATGAATGTGCAATACATGATTTCCTAGCCCTGGCTCGACATGAAGTTGGATGCAGATCGTTGAATGAATGCATCAATAGCATTGCTGGTAACCAGAGAGATACACTCCTGAATCGCATTGCTGCCATGTCAGATTTCCTATCAAACGATCCTTATGGGTACTAATGATTGAAATTCTGTCTCATCGTGATTTTGAGCATGTTTGGTAGGATAGTGGATTCGATAGCACTGGTAACAGTACAAAGAAAGAATAATAGTCAAGATCTTTTTCATTATACAATCCAATTATGTCCAGTACTACCTACCAAAACACGCACTTTATGTTTTGATTTTACTTTCATGGGAATTGTTCTTTACTTGTGAACTTATCAGTTTAAGGTTTTCCTCTTAGGAACTATGTCGTCCAGCATGTCCTCGAGCTTAGAAATGATCTTATAACGAAGAAAATACTGGGCTGTCTTCAAGGTCAGTTTATACAGCTATCAAAGACAAAAGGAGGCAGTCATGTTGTGGAGAAATGCATTGAATCTTCTGCATTTGGATGCAGTTTTGTGGTTACAAAACTTTTAGATTCTTCAAACAATATTGTTCGACTCAGTCAACATCAGTTTGGAAACTTTGTGATTCAAAAAGCCTTACTGAGGACAAAGGTAATTCTTGTTCTTTGCCTAGTCACAATTAGCAACACACATCGAATTAGAACCAATTATAATTCATTCTCGATTTTCTCGTCTTCTTGCAGATAGAGGGCCAGATGCACCTCCATGAAACTCTAGTTATGATTCTTGAAAAGCATGCACAGAAGCTTAAACTCACCAAAAGTGGCAATCATGTAATTAATCGGCTTGGTGAGCTTCAAGAAGCTGAGTTCAACCCATGAAAAATCCATTTCAGAGGAATGAAGAAAATTGAAATTACATCATGTCATTGTTTAGTATGATAGATATCATCTTTCTTGTTGCTGCATATTGTTACTTTATTCTTGTAACGCTTACACAGAACGTGTTGTTACTTGTTAGTGTGATTGAGAATTTTTTTGCTATAATGTTACTTCTTTATTTGTTTTCTCCATATATCATGTTACAGAAAAATCTTAGCTTCTTCGTAAAATCTATGAAAGATGTCGTGTTTTTACAGAAAACAGGATTTAGTTGAGTTTTTCCAATTGCCTACGTTTTTAAAAAATATAGAGGAGATCAAAATAAAAACAAGCTTTCATAGCTCAGTTGGTTAGAGCACCCGTTTAGTAAGCGGGAGGTCTTGAGTTCGACTCTCAATGAAAGCACATTTTGTTATTTTGTTATGGTTAGTTGTTTTCTTTTGAAACTAAAAGCGCCTATATTATTTCTTATTATTATTTTTTAGAACAATGCTAGAGGTACATCGGGGTGTNAAACATTTTTTTTTCTTTTTTACTTTTTGACAATGGAAACAAATTTATAACCAAGTGTGAAAAAATTATCACTTTAATAGACAATTTTGATGCAAATGAAAACCAAATGAACAAAAAATTTAAAAATTTTTCTGGTGGAAAATTATACTAATCAAACACACTTAATTAACAATTCCCTGCAAAATATTTTCTAGACAATTATTTTCCCTGGAATTCAATTTCTTTCCACCTATTTTCCACCATTGCAATCAAACAGACCCTTAGTTTTTCACACTAGTATATTGTTTGCAAATTTATCTATATTTTCTTTGTTTATAAAGTTGTCGTCGGATGGTAACTCGATGTTTAATCTTCTTTGGCGTAACTAATTATACATACGCAATTTTAATTGGGTGGATGGAGGGAAAAAAAAATAGATTAAAAGATGTACAATCTCAACATTAGATTATTCGAAAGATTTAAATTATTATTTTATAACATTGAATATTGTTATTTAATAATTTTTATATGGACTCATATTTAAAGTTGACCCAAGACCCCTAAAATTTCAAAATCGACCATGTGTAAATATAAATATCAATCTACCTCGCTTTACATTGCTATAATGTCAATTGCCCAAGAAAAGAGCCAAGTATGTTAGTTCACCCCACATCATATTAAAAAATAGGCATTTGTTTTCATCTTTTCTTAGGTTGGTGCCCACAATTTTCTTGTTCTTGAATTAGTCTTTGGGTGCCCAAAATGTTCTAAATGCCACCACAATACTGGATCTTTCCCCATTTGTTAAACTCTAGAAATAGGTCACCACCTAAATTAGTTGCCTCATAACTTCAAGAAAACTTCTAAGAAATGGTACAGACAGTTATATAATTAATTTAGACCATGTTTGAGACCTAAGGAGCTTGACGCAATGCTCGGCCAATATGGATCGAGCTCTTATCACTATGGGCTGAGGTTAGCTCGTTCCTTTTTTAGGTCTAAGCTCCCCAAAGACCTAAAGCCAGTGGTCGAGGATCTGAAGTCCATGAGTGAGCTTACAAATGAGCTCGAGTTATCGGCTTCAGAGGTCGAGGACGAGGATGAGGGGAAGGAGGCTAGACACCTGATCAGGGAGATCCGGCTGACGCGACTAACCTGGATTAGACGCATGATCGATCGTCTAGCTGCTGATCTCCCTTTTTTTTTTTTTTTTATGAAAATGCATTTAGTATAGTATTTTCATGGAGAATACGTTATTAAAAAAAAAAAAAAATTGGGTTTTGCGTATAATATTATTTATTGAAGAACGTGTGGTTGAAAATAAAAGAGAAAAAAATTTATTTTAAAAATAATCGGTACCAAACAAGGACTGAGTGTAATCACGTATATAAAAATATTAATTAAAATCATGTAAACATTTGGGTGCCTGGCCACATGTTAACTAGTGTTTGGTGATTCTACCTATTATTATTTTTAATTAGATGAGTGTGGTACACAAGGAATCCCTTCTTTCCTTCACACATCTCCCACTTTATCTACAATTTTATATTATAAAGTTGATAAAAAGTTTGTTTTTATAAAACCCCATTTTCAATTAATTTTAAATTATTTGATTTTTGAGTTTAATGAAATCTCATTTTCCAAGCAATTCTAAATTAATTTGATTTATTATTATTATTAATATTTTTGTCAAAATTTAAGCATATAAAGTGATTATTTCTGTGGTAGCAGCATGTGAACCCACTGGTCATCTTGTTTATGGCCCAGTGCCTTGCATAGACACGAAGCAAACGTGTGGAAAAATTGTGAATAGAAAACATGTTGACTTCCATTTTTGCTAAATATTTAATTAATATAATTGTAGTATTTAAGCCACAAAAGGGGAAATTGGAAAATCGATTCACACAAATAACGTTATGTTTTTCGTTATTTATCCCTTTTTTATTATGTACATCCCAACTTACTACTTCAATAGATTAATTTATCAACAGATAATGTGACGATATTTAATTGATTCAAAATCTCACTAGCTAAATAAAAATAAATAAAATTCCTCACTTTTTTTTCCACCTCATCAATTTGTAAAAGAAATTGTAAAAGATATTGCTTTTCTTATCTTCTAGGGGTTGTATACTTGTATTATGAATATTTGAGATGCATTCTTACCTTAAGCACGGCGATGTTAACTTTTTCTTGTAATATAATGTTTTAAAATTTGAAGATATAAACGTATTGTTGATCAAGACAATTGTAACATGTAAGAAACGGTAGACACACAAAATGAAATACATGGTACTTTCGATCGTGTCTTTACCAGCATTGTAAAATGCCAATTGCTAGTATTAAGACATGACATGTGAGATACTTAATAAAATATGTAAAATTTTATCAGTAACTCCACCGTCATATTGACTCTTGTTCGTTATGACTTATTAGTGTTTAGTAATAAGATTATTCTAATTAAACTAGCAAGAGACCTAAACAATTAGATTTGTTTAAGGCAAATATTTGTCCTCAAAAAGAAAATATTACAAAAAATGAATGGGTAGGACAACAATTTTGTCCAATTTTTTGAAAAGAAGAAAATTCAAAAATCTCAATACAGCCTAGTCACCATCTTCAATCGTCTGCATTTCCAACACGAGAGGATAGCCAAAGGGCGCTCCCTCTTACGTTGTCCATTATATTTACCAGTTGGAGAAGTGAAAATCAATAACATTACCTTTCTACTTTTACTCTCTTTCACGTAACATATACTATAATTATAAATAGACAATATTGGTAATTGAAGCAAAGCCTGGTTTTGATAAGCAAGAAAACGAAAAAGGGAGGAAAAAAAAAAAAACAAGAGGGCCTCTAGCCCTCTGCTTGCTCAATCCATGCCTCCTCTTAGATCTTGAATTTTATCCATTTCTTATCTGGGTCTTTGTTTTTTGGTAAATTAAAGCTCGTTTTTTGTTACATATTGACCTATTCTTGATTGTTCAAGTCAAAGTTTGAATCTTTATTGTTTCTCAGGGATTCTGGATTCTGGGTCTAATGATCTGATAAAGATCATATGATCCCCGGCTGAATCAAAGATTGCCCATTTTTTATTTAAGTGCAAGAAATCTCCAAGTTTATATTGTAATTTATTTCTTCAGGTATGGTTTTTGTTAATCCATCTACATTACCATGTTTTATATTGATTGGATTTTCTTCTGATAACAGATTATTTGTTGAGTGAGCTGTATAAAAATTGGAAATCGAATTGTTCCATGAAGTGGTCTAATATTCCAGTTTTGGGTTACTTGTTGATAGAGTTTTTGCGTGCTTAAATGTAGTGATATTGGATTGGTTTAGATTTGATTAATTGGGAATTATTGGATGATTGCCACTTGGGGTGCAGAAATGGAAATGAATCCCGGCAAGATTTTCATTGGTGGGATTTCTTGGGAGACCAACGAAGAGCGTCTGAGAGAGTATTTTCAAACTTTCGGTGAAGTAGTAGAAGCTCTGATAATGAAAGATCGTACCACAGGCCGTGCCCGTGGTTTTGGTTTCGTTGTTTTTGCTGATGCTTCTGTTGCTGAAATAGTTGTCAGGGAAAGACACACAATAGACGGAAGAACTGTAAGTCAAGCATTTGATGGTGCATTTCGAACACTTAAGTTGAAAAATTCAATCAATGTTTTGTGGCAGATCTATAACCTGTTAGGGATGCCTAATTTATCATTTATTAAGATGGCATGCATTTTGTGTATGATTAGTCTACTGTCCAATTATATCCTCCTCTACTTGCTGAAATTATTCTAACACAGTTCATTTGGGGTACTTCTGTTCTATTCTATATTTGCATGATGGAAGCTTATTTATTATCCTATCATAAGTATAAATCTAATGAGGACCCAGAATAGGTTGCTTTTAACTAAAACAAGGCAGTCTTGTGGTCATCATCTGAACTTGTACTCATAGAACGTGGAATAACGTTGACAAACGTGTAATATTTCTATGGCATGCAGTAAATTAATTAACTCATCGAGATTTTAGCAATCAAATAAGAGGACATGGAACAGGTAGAATGTGGTGGTTTCGTCATGTTCTTCATAAGGGTTAGCTCTTGGAGAATTTTGGGAGAGGGGCATGGAATGTCAAACAAAACTTGTTATACTTGGTGCACTTTTTTCATTTTTCTCCCTTTGGATTCCTTGGTTCTTTTTTGTACAGTGTGAACTTGTGTTTCTCACAGAGATCTCATCTAACAGTTTACTAAAGAATAACTTTGAAAATCCTATAGGTGTTAAGACAAGTGGCATGTCAAGTTACAAATAATGAGAAAACTCTTACTGAAATTATTCATTTGCTAGTGACCTCTTGGTTAATTTGCATCACATCCCAGAAATTTTGGCAGGGTTGTAATATTCATGTTTTCTTAGAGAAGGGCTTTGTTCAGCAACGAAGTAATGATGAGAATATGTCTTCTGTCCTACAATTAATTTACATCATTTCATTTTTTGTTTATTTAGGTGGAGGCAAAAAAGGCTGTTCCTAGGGACGATCATCAAAACTTCAATAGAAACATTGGAAGCATTCGAGAATCGCCTGGTACTTCCCGCACAAAAAAGATTTTTGTGGGAGGCTTGGCTGCAACGGTCACAGAAAGTGACTTCAAGAGGTACTTCAATCAATTCGGAACAATAACAGATGTTGTGGTCATGTATGACCACAACACACAAAGGCCTAGAGGCTTTGGTTTTATTACTTACGATTCAGAGGAGGCCGTGGATAAAGTTTTATTCAAAACCTTTCATGAACTTAATGGAAAAATGGTTGAGGTTAAACGAGCTGTTCCAAAGGAGTTATCTCCAGGACCAACTCGAAGTGCATTAAGTGGATATGACTATGGTCTCAATAGGGCTAGCAGTTTTCTCGATGCTTTTACTCAAGGTTATAATTCAAACTCACTGGGAGGCTATGGCATGAGAATGGACAGTCGATTTAGTCCCGTATCTGTAGCTCGGAGTGGATATCTTCCATATAGTCCCTCTAATTATAACACAGGACTAAATTTGGACTCAGGGTTGAGCTTGAACTATAGGATGACTCAAGAATCAGGGTTGGGATATGGACGTAGCATGAACAGCTACTATAGAGGAAATTCAAGCAGATATGGAAGTCCTATTGGATATAATATGGGTGATGGAGGAAATAGTTCTTTGTTGAACTCAACAAACCAAAACATGTGGGGCAATGAGAGTCTTAATTTTGGTACAAACTCTATGATCTCTGACGCTTTTGTTGGCTCGGGAATTGGGAATACTAGCGTAGTCGGTGGTTTAGGTAGTATTGGGGGAACTTGGAGCTCCTCCCCCATTTCAGCTCAAGAAGGGGGTAATGGTTCTTTAAGTAGAGGTAATGTTGGTAATTATGGCAGCAGACAAAATAGTTTTGGTGGCTGGGGAGGTTATGATAGAAACAATATAAGCAATGTTATCACATCATCATTTTTTGCCGCGAACGAGGTCCAAGATGATGGTTTTGGGAACTTATATGGAGCTAATTCAATTTACGATGATCCTGCTTGGCGTTCATCCTCCCAAGAGCTAGAAGGATCTGCCTCCTTTGGTTATGGGCTCAGGACTGCAGCTGCAGATGTTACACCTACAAATTCTGTTGGTTATGTTGGGAGTGGTTATAGTGTTACGACTAGGTCAAATAGAGGTAATTATTTTATATCTCGACCCTACTCTACGCATGCTGTAAATTGGTTATCGTGTACATTTCATACCGATGTACTAATTTGTTTCTGATTGTTCATCAGGAATTGCTGCCTAGGACAAGTTGCTGTAAGAATACTGATGAGTTTATAGTAGGTGATGATAAATACAAGTTTTACCAAAATGGAGAACCACGAATACTCGTATTCCCTGGTGGAGGTTTTTCAGGCTACAAGTACACTTTAGAGGGGATCAAAGTACCTGTTCTAGAGAGTCAGCGACCCGGTCACCAGGCTATTTCTACGGATATTCGTATAAGGTCTAAAGTCGAGCTTTCCAATATAGTTTTTGTTTCTTGAAATTTGTTGAGATGTGAAAATGGTTTGCGGGACATGAGCATTTTATCTTTGCATCTTTGGTAACGTGGCATGACACGAGAGGAACGTTTCGTTCCGTCTCTTCTGTAATGCCATCATAGTTCCCGGTTTGTGCTAGGTTTCTTGTTCAATTCTTGTTGGCAGATTGAACAGAAGGTTTGATTTACTTGGCTATGATATTAAACTCTAGTTTACTAAATTGTGTCATTTTGATGCATTTTTGTTCTTCTCCTTGCATTGGATTATCAATTTTGAGTGGTAGAAATTTGGGAACTTCATTAATTTACGTTTTTTCCACTTAGATTGGGCTTATCATATTCTTCCATTTGATTTTTGTTCTAAAACTATTGGTGCTAAATACCATTGTTCTTAACAAAAGGTCAAATGTAACCATTTGTAGGATAATGGCTATGATATATCAATCTAGTTTTGTTACAAGTACAGAAAAAAATTGACAGAATGCTTACAAAAAGACACTTGACAGTTTTTCATTGATTTTTGACACAACAAACATAGAAAATGCACCATACAGATGCTGTCAGCGCAACACCTATATCATTTCTGTCAATAATTTTCTATATCTATGAAATTATTCGTATCAATATTAATAGTATTAAGTCATCTACATAAAGCAATCATTAAGGTTTTGACAAATTATAGGCATCAAAACGACAGGGCGTCAGGGCAGGAAATGTAATAAGAAGTTTTGAGAATAGACCATGTCATCAACCCAATTGAAGCAGAGGGTCAGTTAATGGAGCGGGCCAGTCATTAAAATGATGGGTCATTGTTGAGTCCAAAGTTTAAATTAAAAATTATTTTTAAAAAGAAATACAAGGAAAAAAAATAAAAAAGTTTAAAGTTAATGTCTTATAATTTAAAAATTAATCTCAAGAAATTTTTAAATTTTTTTCAGTTAAATAAAAATATTATATCTGAGTTTTTTCTTCTCTCTCTTATCTTTTTAATGTTTTAAGTAAAATAAAATTACACAACACTCATTGCATGTTTGCCAAGTTATTAAGTTAAAATAGGAAGTAAAATATTAGTCGCATTCCTAGCCCCTAAAATGTTAAAAATATTTCATTCTGGTATATGAAGTTCTAAATTTAACACTTTAGTCCTCCTATTTCATTTTTATTGCAATTCGATCCTTTTGAATGATAGTAGACCCAGTCCAGTCATTGAGGAAGGCTTGATACTGTTTTTACTTATTGAAAATCAGTATACCATTTCTTTTATTTAAAAGTATACAATCGAAAACAATAAAAAAATGTAAAACTTATTTTTGACCTTGTGTTCAATCTGCCAATAAGAAAGAATTGAACAAGGAACCTAGCACGATTAAATGCTCATGTCTCCGACAGTAATAGATCCAGAAATCTAGGTGAGCAAGAACAATCGCTAATATGAAGGGAAAAAAAATCGACGAAATCAGCACGGATGGCCACAGGAGCTCATCAGGTGCTGACTCCGTCCCTGGTCTCCATAACCAATTTCTTATCTCAACAAATTATAGGAAAATATGATAACCAGTGAACTAATACCAGAGCAACACCAAATTTGTTAATCTGAATTATTGATTCCAGAAACAGAATTACAACAAAATAGAACAAAAATATAAAATATGAAATTGAACTTTTAACCCCGAGACCTGTGTTACACACAGTTTCCTTAAAACATATTCGTCTCCTCATTGTACATGCTTAAGGTGTAATTTGAGCGTCTGTTTCTCAGGATACAACAGAAGATCAGTAGAGTCTGAGCACCACAGAAGCTACTCCAGCGAACTGAGTTAGAGCCCGAACAATATCACCACCAGACTCAAACATAAACGAAAATAGAGACAAACCTTGAATTATATGCAGATGAATATTTAGATTAATTGTTGTATTGAAAACTAGAAAAAATCGATGTATATATAGACTTTAGATCTTGCCCACTTACTTCATGGCAATTACAACGGA